TGGCAAATTTTATGAGAGAATATTTGGAAGTCCTGAAATTCATGTACGAGGTAGATTCTACGAGTTATTATTGAAAAATAGACGATCTTGGGCGAAGTTATAGTAAACCACCAATTCTCTTTGCGAAGCATGAAAGAACTTTTACGTAAAAGAAAATCATTCGTCAAAGTACGGAAATTTTCAGATGATCCATCATTCCCTTTGCCCGTTTGCAAGAAGCAATCCACAAATTCATATCTGTAAGGAACAGTCTTGGAAACAGAAACAATCTTGGAACTTTTACTATCCTTACCAGACATCTACCATCAACAACTTCACAGAAATAGAAATTCTCTCCATAAAATATGCGATATTTATATTAGAGAAAAAAAAAAACAACCTTTTGCATTTTTATATTTTCATTTATGTATAGATATATTTTTTAGATCAGTCATCTATCTAATCATCTAATATTTTAAAAACACTCTAAAAGAGTAAACACCCGCACCAAAATTTTGATACCTAAATGGTCATCTATAAGTCTGTTTGAAAAGTACAAAACTTTCGTAACTTTCATCAGCCACTTATCGCCAACAGCTTTGTACAAAAAAAAATTGCCTCTTACTCGAATTCTCTCTCATAGAGTATATAATTTATATTAAATATTATTTTATACTAGACCTTCTTTATTTCGCTGATTTTTCGTCATCTATCCCTATCTATCCCTATCTTCGTATAAAAAGACATTCTTAACCACCTTAATTTGATGAAAAATAAATTGTAAACCTTCTGGAATTTCAGACTTCAGATTTTAAACTTAATTTTTATTAAACTGAACATTGATGAATAAAAATTACATAACATGTTTCAATGCCCTAAATTAATGTCACAGTTTCAATAAGTGTTCCTTGAAAGGGAAAATCGTTAATACCTACCCGTTCATCATCCACATACTCAAAAATCGATATTCTCGTGATAGAACAAGCAAGCAGTTCTGAAAGATTAGCCTACTGATTAACTTTGGACGATAACGAGGACGAGGAGGACCATCTCCTCGGTGTGTCCACGTAACGAAAAATTGGCTAGATCGGCCGGACGAGGCCTGCCGTTGGGAGAGCTGCTCGTTTCTCGGTAATTTGCTGGACTACGCGCGGGTAACGAGTCTTGGCCTACAAAAGTCGTCGGTCGGCCGTTCGCTCGAACAAGTAG